TTGTATTACCCCAATTGATCTAGTGGAAACCCCTCATCTCAAGAGTTCACTCTTGACTTGAGAACGAGAAAGGGTTGCAAAACCCTAAGTTTTAGTGGCAAGCCTTAACAAATGTGGACATAGGCAAGCTTTGGTATGGAAATAACCACAGGATAAATCCTCGTGGTCTTGTGTTTTATGTTTTGAATTCCATTATTTGTGTTCCACTCGATCCACTTAGTTATGAGTGTTTGTGAGTGCAGGGTACTTAGTGAACTCAAATCACTGGACATCTCTACCAAGTTTGGTTTGTGTTGAACTCCGCTTGAGTTTGTTTTTAAACAGCCTATTCACCTCGTCGCCTCTTAGGGAGCGGCGGGAGCAGGAGCCGTGCTCCATGTCGCACTGACTGACGGCGTGACCGCCTAAGCAGTGAAGCGTTTGGCGGTGGACGCCTTGGGACTGGAGTGGTCGCCATGCGTGAGGCGGTGGACACCGGGATCGGAGTGGTCGCGGTGGCTAATGACGGCACCAGCGGGCGCTCTCACCTAGAGAGAGAAACCCCACATCGCATCGCCCATAACCCTTGCGCCTAAAAGCTTGGCAAGGGTGTTCGGAAATTCAACCCAACACTAGTCTTGCGGACGATTGGATTATTGCTCCAAAGTCTGAAGTAGGCAAGCCAGCTCAAATGAAGGCCAAGCGTCAAGCAGTGAGCTATACTTCTGGCAATTTCTTGGCAACAACTGTCCATTTGAACCACATGAGTATGTATATTGTATGAGTATAGGGACTACTACAAATTTTGCATGTAAGCCGTTAAATAGCTAAAGATGTACTGTACCTGCTAGTCTGTTCAGTGACTTTACCTACCAGTAATGCATATGTTATGTTCCTTTGTCACTGCTTAATTTTCATTTTAGTTTACCTTCATTTGTTTTTTTTTATAGACACGCATCTCCCACCCAACTGGAGAAGGGATGAGCAGTGCCCTATAGTTATTTTTCGGAAAGCAGCAGTACCCAAAGTTATTTCTCTCGTAGTTACAGTAGGTAGACTCCATACTGTTTTCATTCCTGCAGCACGGTTCGCTGCAGATGATTCTCAACTTTTGTATCGGAATGTGAATATGTGAAACATTGTTTCATCTTTGTGGAAAAAATATATCATCAGAAAATGTGGGTGCTAAAAAGTCACAATCCAACCTTTGGCAAAAACTAGCATAGATATAGTGCAAACACAGGAATAGAAATATTAATCTGCAAAATACGTCTATAAAAACATGTACTAGCTGTTGGTACAAAATCACTTCATTATAAAATACTGTTTGATAGAGCTCTTGCATTCGGCCTAAAATTGCTCTGGAACTCTTGCCAAACGGACCCTTAATAAGTAGCAAGGCCAATCATCATTGTATAGGTAAACATATGCACGAATAAGTAAAACTTTAGTAACAAATACATGCATGCTGCCCCAGATATGAACTAATAGCGTCGACGAGAACTGCATCAAGTGTCTCCAGCTTCCAACTGACAAACCTCCCTAGTAGGGAGTATAGTAGATAGAAATGCGGAAGAGATGAGAATGACAAGAAGGGGGAAGGGAAGGATTCTGCGCACCTGGCAAGAACACGCACACGCTGCGACGACGTGGAAGCAGGGCCCGTCGCCGGCTGGCGAACTTGCTGCGTTTCTCCAGATGCAGCTGCAACCTGCAAGCCTGCAACGCCTGGAGGGCGTTGGCGGCCGCGGAGAGTCCTCGCGCTCGCGGTCTGCGTGCGGAAATATTGTACTCGCCGGTCGCCGCTACCAGCAGCCCCCAGGCGGCCGGGTGTGCACGCACGTTCTCTTTTTGTATTCTGCCCGTCAGGCCCAATTGGTTGTTGCTGCTGCTGCTGCGGAAATCAGTGTCCGTTCCACCATTGGTCCGCCCATAACAATGCTCGGCCCGTGATTCTAGGAAGTACGCCTCGCTTAATCAGTGTCCGATGATGCGGTTTGAGCGCACTGCGCAGTAGCTAGCCAGCTAGGTTTAAGTTTTCTTCGAGGATGTTTCATCTTTTTTTTTTAAATAAACAAAAAATATATTTCTTCTTATTGGAAGGAAAGAAGTCTAAATCATACTCTAGGCAGCATGCAAGTTATCGACAAGACAGTTACAGTGACTAATCGACATTATTGAGTGATACCGCTCTCCTTTCTACAGCAATAACTTTTTATCTTTAGGTTGGATAAGTTAGTTACAGTGACTAATCGACACTAACAGATACAGTTCTCCTTTCTACAGCAATAACTTTTTATCTTTAGGTTGGATAATAAGTTAGTTACAGTGACTAATCGACATTGAGTGATACAGTTCTCCTTTCTACAGCAATAACTTTTTAAACAGAAGCAAGATATCGACATCAACACTAAAGTTATAACTCTAGAAAAAGGAATAGCTACCTTACTACCTGGAAGCAACTTTACTTGCTCCCACGGTTCATCTCAATGGAGTATATGTTAGCACAGGACACGTATTGCTGCTCTTTCCATTCTAAACTATAAGTCGCTCTGATTTTTTTTTATATCCATTTTGCTATGCATCTAGTTACATCTTAATGTAGCAAATTCTATGTATAAAAAATCAAAGCGACTTTATAATTTAGAATGAAGAGAGTATATTATAATATTACTATGGAGAAAAAAACCAGTTCGAGGCCGTTCCAAACTTCCAATCAGACGAGGAACAGTTTACAGCAACCAAGGTGAAAGCCCACGCATTACAGCAATACATGTAACAGGTATCACGTCTAAATCAACAAGCAAGCTAACGACTGGAACAAACCACCAGGTAAAACTACTGGCCAAAGACACATGCCTAACTAAGAAGGACAGCTTCTTCCTACAGCAAACAACTTCTTCAGGTCTGCCCAAACTGATCCATCAGTTTATGACGAATTTTATTAAGACAAATGTAACCAGTGACGGCACATATTTTATGATGAACTTTATATAATACTCCCTTCGATCAAAATTATAGGTCGTTTGGGACGCAGGGGAGTAATCTAGGTGCATAGCATAAACCAAAATGACATTATAATTTAAGACGGACGGAGTAACAGATATGGTTTTATTGGCGTGACAAGACACCACAGACTATGGTTTTTAACAAAGTTATACAAACGGATTGTATACAATAATTTATTTCCGGTAAGATGATTAGATGAAGTCCATGTTTTCCCTCCATCATCACTGAAGATGAATGCTCACCATGGGTGGTATGATCTCCAACCAGCAATACCGATAAAATGAGTTGACATTGGCATTCTGCAGTGGCTCATGCTGTGCTCGCAAAGGTGAATCCAGTCCCTTGCAATGCATCCTCGACAATCTTGTCTAGCCTCTGCGCCATCTCCGGCGTCATGTGATTGCTCCAGTCCCCAGCAACTCCCATCCTGAAGAAGCTTTCGTTCTTGATCCCCATCCTAGTGCTTCCATTTCTGTTCACCTCCATGTCCCTCAGCTTGGCCAGGCTACACAGCTCCACGATGGCGCCACAACCCCGCCCTCCTCCTCCTCCTTGGAAAATTCACAGCCCATGAACCTTGCTAGCTTCTTGACGTGACTCTCCGGCGCAAGGAGCATCTCCTCGTACCTAAGGAACAACACCCTGCTGTCTGATCTCCTCACGCTCTCCTCCCAGTACTGGAGGACATGCTGCCATTGGGGCCATCAGGACAGCGGCCTTGGCAGAATAGCTCGAATGCCTCCTGGATCGTGAATGACTGCGCATCAACTCCCCACGCCGGCGACGCCTTCCTCGTGAACAACCAGTAAGAAACCAGAGCATCCTTGGGTTCCCGGCAGATGTATACGATCCGGCACCCTGAGTGCTCACCTGTGATGCTGTTGGGTAGCAGGGAGTAGGGAAGGTGCGTAGCCAGCACACGGGGGGGAGGAAGCGCATCAAACTCATTCCCTGTGTTCATACCAATTTCGAGGAACTTGACGCAGTCATGAGGGCCGCAATGGCGCAGCGGATGGTCGTCGTCGCACGGCGGATGTGTGGAACGCTTCAGCGTTGCGAAGGCTAGGGCCTTAAGCCAAGTGGTTCCAGACTTGGGGTAGCTTGCAAGGAACACGTCGGTGGGTCTCGGCTGGAACCTGGAATGGACGTTCGGGACGCCTATCTTCAATGTTGTTACCTCTGGCACCCAGAAGCCAGCGTAATGGCGGAGCCGGAACGGTGGCCACCTGATCTCCAGGGGCAGCGAAGGGATGATCTTGGCTACGTTGGCGTGATGCATTGTCACCGGCGTTGCACCTTCTTGTGCATCGTCCTCCGACTGCCTGAAAGCCATCGTGTTACTGGCCTACTGCTGTATCTCAAAAGAGACGTCACCTCCAGTTGCTTGTTTCAGCCTGCATATGGAGCCGAGGGTGCACAAAACGGATGTAATCAGACAACCTGATCTCAGCTTAAAATAGATAACAGCAAGATGTTAACTGAGATATAAAAGAGCAACGGAGGCACACATAATCATCACCATCTGATCAGACATGATTCAATGAACATTACCACTGAAATCGATTGCATTGCAAGTCACCTAACAGTGGAGCAATACTACAGGTCCAAGTCACATTAAGAAGTACCCAGAAAGAAACAAGGCTGCACTCCGAACTGCTCAGGAAGGATCCTATCCTAGGATATAAAGCTTCAAAGGTGTTCGGAAATTTAGCACAACACTAGTTCTTGCAAAAGATTGAATTATTGCTCCAAAGTCCGAAGTAGGCAAGCCGGCTCAAATGAAAGGCCAAGCGTCAAGCAGATCAGTGAGCTGTAATTCTGGCAATTTCTCGGCAACCCAACACTGTCCATTTGATTCAACCTTTGCAAAAACTAGCATATATATAGTGCAAACACAAGAATAGAAATCTTAATCTGCAAATACGTCTATAAAAGCATGTCCTAGCTGTTGGTACAAAATCACTTCACTATAAAATACTGTTTGATAGAGCTCCTGCATTCAGCCTAAAAGCTTCTCTGGAACTTTAACAAATAGACTCTTTTTTTTTTTGAAACAATGGCAGGAGTTCTGCCGCTCAATTAAGATGAAAAAATATTATGTACAAGAAGGTTAGCCGGACGAGATGCCAAAACGCATCCGAAGGGCTAACCAACCCACACGACGCAGCTGAGCACAAACACGACACACTACCATGGGTCATCGTTGCCGAGCATGGCGGCAAAGGCTGCCGGCAGCTCGACTTCCCATGACAGGCCACCCACTAGCCATCCACCGACGGCCCGCCACCGGTCATCGTTACCAAGCTCAAACACCCCACGAAGAGCAACTCTGACTTCCAATCACGGACCCGCACCACACAACAATAATTAGTGCTAGAGGGAAAGCACGACACCCCCAACAGGGAAGCGGCGCCCACCGGGCGTCGCCATCGCCATGGCTTTTCGCCCAAGAACCCTCTAGCACAAACATCAGGCCGAGAAGCTCGGACCCGCCAACCAGCACCGCCATCGCCGTTGTCCCGCCGCCTACACAGAAGCCCATTTAGAAGGGCATCGACGCGCCCGGCCGCACGTAGCAACCGCGATAGTTGCGTCGGCCGCCACCCTTCCGAACAGGCCACGAGAGCCGAACTCGACTCCGGCGCTTTCGCGTAACACCGCCAGACGCCGAGGCCGCCAACGACCACCGTCGCTCGCTCTGGCACCTCCACCGCCGTCGCTGTTGACAATGCCGCCAACAGCCACACGAGGCGCATGCCCCCCACCATCACGGGCGCCGCCCTTGCCACGGGGCACCGGATCAGCGCTCCATGCCGACGCGCTGTTGCTAGGGCCACCGCAGCGGACAAAGCCGCTCGATTAGCCGCCACCCTGCTCACTGCTGACCCCGCACGCCAAAACGGGGCCGCGGGCGCCGCCACGTAGGCGCGCGGGCTCGCATCTCGCCGCCTGCGACGCCGCCGGCCCAAGACGCCACACAGAGCCCGCGAAGACGACACGAGAGCGCCGCCGGTCCGTAGCTGAGTCCCCACTCCCGCACATCACCACCGACGGCCACGTGCCAACTCCACGCAGCGGGGAAGATGGTTTCGGATCGAGGGGGCGAATCCGATCTGGTGCCAAGCAGATCCCCGACGCCGCTTTGCACGCACGGGAGTTCCACCAGAGAGAGATATATAGAGGAGGAGGAGGAGGAGAAAGAACCCCACCGCCGCCATCCTCGGCGTCCGAGCTTGGCGGCGTGGGCGCGGTGGAGGCGTGGGGCGGGGCCTACCGTGGCGGCGGGAGGAAGCGATGCCGAGTCGCCCCCGAGGAGAGAGCAACGGGGCGAACCTTGGTTGATCGATCGCATCACAGCAGGAGATTTAACTTTTACCAATATAACAAATGGCACCTCCTCAAATAGCACTTTAACAGATGCCAATACATTTTCGCCAAAGACGAGAGAAAACGGCTACAAATTTACTATTTTTGCTTGCGTGGCACTCAGTTCTTCATGCGGCGTGGATTGAGTCAACAGCAGGCGTGTGAAATGTCCCTCCCGCCCTTTTCCTCTCCACCCACGCGGTGGCAATTTCGCCCGTACTGGCGGCGGCGCGGCAACTTCAAGGCATGTTGTTGGCCTGTTGGTAGCCCCGAGCACTGCAGTAGCGGCACCTCATGCCCGGCGGCGGTGCTCGCCAGCGGTGGCGCTCTATTGCCCGCAGACTGCCCGGACGACCGTCGGCGCGCGCCGCCGTGCCTCGGCCCTTTCGCGCCTGGCGGTGCCCGACGAAGCCGGATCGATGGTATTTGCCTCGCCGCGGCCGGCGCTTGAGCTCATCCATGAACTCGTCGAAGCCGCGCCATGACGAGCCGCCGGGCGCCCGGCAGCCTCGAGTGTGCCCCTCGGCTTCTTCGCTGCTCCACGAACTTGACGCCGTCTTCCCGCCCATCACCCCTTCGATCCGCGCCTTCACCTCGTCGGCGCGCACGCGACGCGGTCCCCGATGGATACGCGGCGCGCCACTCCCCGCACGAAGGCGCGCGGTAGGTGATCCGTCCGTGAGCAGCGGAAAGTACACAGCGCCGGCACGCCCGCCCACACGCTCTCGAGATGGAGTTCCAACGCAGCAGGCGTGAGGAAGCCACCGACGGCGGCGTGGGAGAGCACCTCCCTGGCAGCACCACGGGACCACGAGCCCCGCCCGCTTGTGGCGCCGGTGAACCCTCGGGCAGCGCGGTCCGAAGTCGTTGGCCGACGATGTCCGGCGCATCACCCATAGGGCGGGCGCCGCTGGCCGGCAGCGCCGCCCGGCGATCTCGTGCAGCTCACGCTGGTCGCGTCGCTGCGTAGGCTGCCGAAGCGATGTAGAGCACGGAGCTGGGCGGCTAGGCTGCGTCCGACCACCGGGAGCGATCCGGACTCAACCCACATGGACGTGGCCACCGCACGCTGCTAGCGCGAATTCCCCGCCGGGAAGGTGGCGACCCAGCGGCGGTGGCGAGCCTTGGCGCTGCGTGACTGCGCGCCACGATGGCGGCCGCCGAGGCTCCGGCACGCAGGCTTTCGCCATCGCCGCGGAGGCCCAACCACTTGAGCAGGTCCGAGCACGTGCACAGGTCCATCACCGTGTGGGTCCGCCTCATCTCGTACACGCGCGTGCTCGCACCACGCCGGGCGAAGCTGCGCCAGCGGCTCCAGCTCCATGCGAGCTCGCCGTGGCAGGACGGGCAGCGTGCGGTGGACCACCAAGCAGCCACGATCGATCTCCGCGCCTATCTCGTAGTTGACTGGCATGGTGGTGGGTACGAGTATGATCGAATCTGGGTGGGCGAGAGAGGAAGAGGTGGAGGAGTAGGGGTAGGAGAGACATTTGACGCCCATATCTTGACTTGAATCCCTCTTTGTCGCGAGGGCTGGCGTGCCACGTAAGCAAGCGTGGTATTTTTGTATCTGCTTTTATGTCTTTCTTTGGTGAAAATGTAGCGGCACCGTTGAGATGCTATTTGAGAAGGTGCCAATCTTTATAATGGTAAAAGTTAAATCTCCCCATCAAAACCCAGCTATGAACTAATAGCGTTGACGAGGGCCTAGGCTGAGCCGATCGTTACAGGAACTGCATCAAGTGTCTCCAGCTTCCAATTGGCAAACCTCCCCCAGATAGAAATGCGGGAGAGATGAGAATGACAAGAAGGGGGAATGGGAAGGATTCTGCGCACCTGGCGAGAACACACACGCCGCGACGACGTGGAGGCAGGGCCTGTCGCCGGCCGGCGAACTTCCCGCGTTTCTCCAGATGCAGCTGCAACTGCAAACCTGCAATGCTTGGAGACAGAACAGGGGGCTGGCCTGCTGAGGGCGTCGGCGGCCGCGGAGAGGTCCTCGTCCTCGCGGTCTGCGTGCTGCAATATTATACTCGCCGCCCCCGGCGGCCCGGCCACGCTCTCTTTTTCTATTCTGCCCGTCAGGCCCAATTGGGAATCCGCGACGCCTCGTCCTCGCGGTCTGCGTGCTGCAATATTATACTCGCCGCCCCCGGCCACGCTCTCTTTTTCTATTCTGCCCGTCAGGCCCAATTGGGAATCCGCGCACGCCATGAATTTATTCTTTGGTTTCATTTGGTTTGCTTCTTTTTCTTTCTTCTCTTTTTAATTATAAATGTTTTTTTTACTTATTCTTTCGTGGAATACTCGTTTTGGCCAACTGCATGAATTTTACATAGTATAATGCATACTGTTTTTGTGCGACAAGATGCCACAAACTATGATTTGCAACAAAGTTATTATTATACAAATGATTTGTGCACAAAGTAACTCCCGGCAGGATGGAGTCCATATTTTCCAACAATCACTCTGAAGCACAATGCTCACCATAGGTGTATGATATCTGCGACCAGCAAGCAGCAATACTGACCGATCTTGACATTCTACAGTTTGCAACCAATACTGTATATAAACCAAGGGTGGCTCACGCTGTGCTCGCAAAGGTGAATCCAGTCCCTTGTAATGCATCCTCAATAACCTTGTCTATCCTCTGCGCCATCTCTCGCGTCATGTGATTGCTCCGGTCCTCAGAAATCCCCTTCCTGAAGCTTTCATTCTTGATTCCCCACCTAGAGCTTCTGTTTCTGTTCACCTCCACGTCCTTCAACTTGCCCAGGCTACACAGCTCCACGATGGCATTAACCACCCCTCCCTCCTCCTTTTTCTCAGAAAACTCACGACCCATGAACTTTGCTAGCTTCTTGACGTGACTCTCTGGCTCAAGTAGCATCTCCTCGTATCTAAGGAACAGTACCCTGAAAAGGCCTCCTCACACTCTCCTCCCAGTACTGGAGGACATGCTACCAT